CCTTCGATGAAGGAGAATGTCGAAGCAAGGAGAATAAAGACGAGTAAAGGAATGGAGCCGGTCAAGAGCGAGAGCATCAAGATAATCTTTGAGGGGGATATCGCGACCACACCCATAAGGGTGGCAGCCACCAAGTCGGCAAAAGGGTCTACATCAAAGAAGACTGACACGGATTACGTGATGACGGAGAAGGACGGGCAGCGGGTCGATGGAGAGGAGGTTATCCTTTCGCCGCGAAAAAGGGGAGTGAAGAAGTTCTTAATGAAGAGTTCGCTAGACGAGATTGACACGGTCGAGCCACTGAGGCGGGCCCTTGGGCAACCCATGCAGTGCTCTATTCTGGAGTACCTGGCGGCATCGAAGCCGGCTCGTGATGAGTTACAGATGATCACGCGGAAGACTCGCATACCTCTATCGGAGGAGGATATGGGGGCCCCTAAGGCGGAAGCTTCTACAGTAGCAGTAACGGGGGTGACTGCCAGAGTGGATCGCATGGCGACAGTCCTTCTCGATGGAATGAAAGGTGTGCCTCCAGACAAGTTTTATATACTTGGTAGCGGGGCCGTGGAGACGATTATAAATGATGGAGCGGTACTCGATGTTGTGATCGATAACGACAGTGAGGCTGTCATCATAGACGAGGACCTGGCAATACAGGTTGGACTGGGCCTCGACAGATCGTACCTGTTCAAGATAGAGACGACTGATGGGAGAAAGCAACAGATCACTGGGGTTTGTCACAAGGCAGCCATAGAGGTCCAAGGAGTAAGAGTGACCCTGCCTGTTTTTGTGGCAGCTCCGACCTGCTCTTGGGTCGAACGTGGCTGAGCCACATGCATGCGGTGACGATAGAGCGACCTGATGGGAGCCAAACATTGTCCATTAGGAAGCCAGACGAGACGCGGGTAATGATTGAGACAGTGGAGCCTCGGGACCCGAGGAACAGAGCAACTCTCGCTGTGGGTGCGAGACCCAGTGATCGGATAAAGTCGTTACCTATCTCCGGCCGCGCGGTGCGATTTCGCGAGAAGAAATATGGACCATTGCTCACAGAGAAAGAAAGTCGGATCGTGGAGGTGGAAGACTTGGGGAGTCGGCTAATAGTGGACGGCAACTCGTACCCGAAGAAAAAGATGAGGAATTTGGCGGTGTGGTATCCGTGTCTTTTTTAAGGGCACAGCCCCCTATGGGGGCCCTTATGGGGGGCTACCCAAGCGACACAAGCGAGTAGCTCAAAAAGTTAAGCCAGCGGCGGTGGGCCGCGAACGATCGGCACTGGAAGGGGTATCAGAAGAAGAGATCGCGAAAGGAATCAAAGAAAGAAAGAAAAAGGAGCCACAACGCTTAACGGAAGAGAGAATAGCAGGGATGGACATCGGAGACGGAAATCTGACCCCACAGGAGCGAGGACGTGTGATAGAAATTCTGAAGACATGTGATAAGGCAATAGCTTTCAGCGACGCGGAGCGCGGTAGGATTGACCCTCGATACGCTAAGCCAGCAAGAATTTACACAATACCACATGTTCCCTGGAACGACGCAGGATGAAAGTACGCCCAGAAGGAGAAGGAAGAAGTTATCGCTTTCCTGAAAGAAAAGATGGTTTCCCACGTTGCGGAGCCGTCTGATAGCGCTTATGCAAATCGATGGTTCTTCCTACGAAAGCCGAATGGCAAGATCCGATGGATCCAGGACCTTCAGAAGGTCAACGCGGTGACGATACGAGACGTGGGCTCCGTGCCACACGCCGATCTACTGGCAGAAGGTGCAGCAGGTAGGTCGATCTATTCGGTCTGTGATCTGTTCTCAGGCTATGATGAGGTACCGCTTGACCCTAGGGACAGACACCTCACGGCTATGCATACGCCATTGGGACTAATTCAGATGATGGTTGTCCCTATGGGCTGGACTAATGGGGTGGCCGTTTTTCAGAGAGYCATGGTAGCCGTCCTCAAGGACTTCATCCCTGATAAGGTTGAAGTTTTTCTGGATGACTTTCCTATAAAAGGGCCAGTAGACAGGGATGAGACAGAGGTTGTACCTGGAGCTAGAAGATTCGTCGAGCAGCACCTAACAGATATTTGCGCGGTACTCGAGCAGCTGGACGATGCGAATTTAACAGTCAGCGGAACAAAGAGCCGATGGGCCGTCTCGACTATTAAGATCTTGGGCTTTATATATGATGCGAGAGAACGCCGAGCAGATCCGGCGAAGTTAGACAAACTATTGAACTGACCCTCACCGTTACATAGCCCAACCGAGGTCCGACAGTTTCTAGGAGTGGTCGGTTACTGGCGTATATTTATACGGGGGTATGCGGAGAAGGCTGAGCCATTGAGGTTACTCCTTCGAAAGACTGAAAACTTCTATTGGAATTCTTCGCAGGAACTTGCTATACAAGAACAAGAACTTAAAGACGAATTTAAGGAAGGAGGACGCGTGTTGGGTGTGCCATTCTTTGACGATGAGACCGCAAGACCCTTCATAGTATCCACGGATGCTGGACCATGTTCAGTGGGTGGTTTGCTGTCTCAGAAGGACGCTGGAGGGAAGGAAAGACCATTAAGATTTGAGAGTA